TTTGTATCTCACCACTTTGGGACCACCATATTTCAATTCGAAGAAAGTTGGACCAAAAAGTATACCCCAACTGGGACTAAATTAGTCCCAATCAGGGAGTAACGTGCTGAATCTCCTTAAGTCGCACTATCGTTGAAAGAAGAACATGAACTTCCTACTCAGCATCTACTCAGACTTTGTTTCCTTCTTCTTCATCTTCCCTATATAAGGAGAGAGCTAAACTCTCATTTCTTCACCATTCATCTTCAAACTTCTTCCTAAGTGATCCTAAGAGTGTAAGGAGTGTAGTGGTGCTGTCAATTTGGTGTGAAGCCGCCAGAGCTAGCCACAAACCTCACCGGAAGTTTCGCCGTAAAATTTCCAAAACCTTCAATAAGCTTCGAGGTAAGCCCGTAGATATATCTAATGACTAGAATGTTCATATCAGGTCGTTTCTATGTTCAAAATTAGTCATTTGGTTGAATTTTGTGTTTGACATGCTTGAAGAACTAAGAATCATAAACCTTGAATTTGATGTTAAAACTACGAATTAATGACTCTAAACTGATTTGTGAACATTGGAGAACATTTTTATATAATTTAATTGAAGTTTGGTGATTAAAAATGATAATGTTAAAACTGAGAATAGATTAGAACTTTATTCAGATCAGCGGCCGAAAATTGATTGAACAGGATGAACAGTGGTCGAAAATCGATTATTTCCTTACTAAGAATCGATTATAACTTTATTCAGATCAGCGGTTCGAAGTCAATACCAGTTAATCAATTTTCTGTTCCAAGAATAGATTAAAAAAATATATATATAATGGATTATTTATATTGCAAAAATCAAATTTATGAATTAATTGATTATTTATATTGTAAAAATTGATTTTTATGAATTAATGGATTATTTATATTACAAAATCGATTTTTATTAATTAATTTATTCTTTAAATTATATAAATAAATGTTTATAAATTAATTGATCATTTTAAATTCTTTTTCTTCAATAGTCCACTTCTTGCTCCGAAAATGTTCTTGGAAATATTCTCTGAAATCCTATTTTTGATATCTATTAATTATGAACAATATAAATATGAGTGTACAATAAAAATGATATTTTTGGCATATAAAATATTATGTGATGCATGATGGTAAGTTCGGGTGTTAACACTCGAGACTAGGCCGCTGTTTGTTATCAAATGTTATGTTGATTGATGATTATGATGAATGATTATTATGATGATTATGACTTGATGAAACTACTGATTAAAATGATTATTGAGGATTAATTTATGAATTGAAACGAATATGTTGATGATTATGAAATGATTTGAATTGTAAGGATATCTAGAAGAACTCTAAGATTTACCTATGTTGACATTGGTTTCTAAGACTATCTAGAAGACCTCTAAGATAGCTTAGAAATAGGCCTTGCGAGTATAATTATGAATATTCGGTGGCCTGGGTTAAAACGTACGTACGGGATCTACAAACCAAACTTGAGGCACTCGCTTGGGGATACCACCCAACCCAACGATGAGCATTCCGCTGTTCGGTTTCTGGATGACCTTAAGCGAAGGTAAGTTTAAGATTTTGAAAACCTGTTTTTGAAAATTTGTATCTTAAACTAGGCCTAGCTTAGGGTTTAGTTAAGAGTACCTTAAACTGCAATATAGTTAAACAATCTTAAACTAGAATTCGTTTAAGAGTTAGTAAACATTAAATAGATTGGCCTTAGACTTAGAATAGTTTAAGGATATTGTTGAATGAGGATGTTGAATCTTGAATATGAATATTGAATGATGAATGTTGAATATTGATTATTGAATATTTGAACTGAACACTTTGTGCATGATATCAAATGATATGATTATGAATTTGGATTCAATTTATATGGATGTTCGACGAATTAGATATGCTTACTCAGCTTCAACGTTGAGCGTGTAGTATGTTTTATTTGTTACACGCAAGTTAATAGAATGATGTGACGTGATCCTAGAGGTAGACGGAGGCGAGATAGTCGAAATGGGTGTGATGGTTTTGAATTGAAGAAAATAAATAAATTATGTTTATGATTGTGATATGTTAAGCTTCCGCAATATTAAAAACTCTGTACTGTATATGTTACAAAAAATATTATTGTGATAAATAAAAGTGTTGGAAAAGTTTTGAATTTTACGATTACCAAGTTAATACTTTAGTCCGAAAGGGGCTGCAGACCTTGTTGGATTAGGGTGTTACATAATTTGTCTTATGTGAGTGTTACTTGTCATTGGATAGATAGTGATTGGATTATGCATAAACGTGTTCTTGCATTTCGTGATCTCAATGATTCTCATACTGCTGAAAATATTTTTCTATTGTTTGAGCGTATTCCGCGAGAATACAATTTAGTTAATAAAGTGTTTGCATTTGGTTTTGATTATGCTACTAATAATACTGCTGCTATTCCGAAACTTAAAGGAATTTGCCCCCTACTACGAGTATGGGTAGATTTCTGCATCAAAAGTGTGCGTGCCATTTTTAAATTTATGTGTTCAACAGGGAATAGAAGCTATGGGGGGGGTGTGATGAACATTAGAAATGGAATTAAAAAGATTTGGGGTAGTCGTATTAATACGAAATCCTGGAAGTCATTCTGTAAATCTAGGGATAGAAGAGCAATAACATTTGCCAAAGATATCACCATTAGATGGAACTGTACATACAAGTTGATAACCCAAAAATTCTAAGCTACAAAGAGGAACTTGCTGAATTTCTTAGGAATGAACTTAGTTTTATGATTTAATTGAATGAATTTGTTATTGTTGAAAAATTGAATGCCATATTAGAAGTTTTTAATAACGAAACTCTTACGTTCTCGCATGTTTACCAACCAACTACATATAGATTTTTTAAAGAGTGCATTACAATCGCAACATGTTTTCGTGAATGTTTAGCCGATCCAAATTTATACCCCTATGTGTCTCTCCTATGAGGGATAAATGGTGTGCTTATTATTTTTACATTCTTGATATTTACAAAATTGGTATTATTTGTGATCCTTGCTTTAAGATTGAAAATTTTAAAATTCTGATTGACTATTACTACACTTGTTTTTTAGATGAAAATAATTATTATTACAACCAGCACCTCCTTTGCCCCCAAGTCAAAAAAAGTTTTTGAGGCTTTATTTAAAGAATTTCAAAGAATATACGGTAATGCACCGGAAGAAACAGCACCTCCTTTGCCTCCAAGTCAAAAAAAGTTTTTAAAGGAATAGTTGGTGGGCTTTTGGTAAGAAAAGGTAAGCATGGTCGGCAGTCGACAAGTTCAGGTGGTACAACTGTAAGCTCCCACAACGAACTTGCTATGTACCAAGGGGTGCCATGTAATTACGACAACAATGACGACGTGGAGTTTGACGTCCTCGCATTGTGGAAGCGGAACGAACACATGATCCCATGTCTCGGAATGCTAGCAAGACAAGTTTTATCCGTCCTGGTATCAACCGTAGTAGTGGAACAAGAATTCAATTCTAGCGGCAACATTCTAACCGACTACCGATTTTGTCTTAGCGTTGAATCTCTTGAAACACTTGTTTGCAACCGAGATTGGCTCTTGGCAAGACGTCGAGCTCAAGAGTTAGGGTACGAATTCAATTCTGAACAATACATGAATGCAACCACTGAGGGAAGCCCTAGTTCTGAGGAATAAGTTATAATCTTTTTTTATGTTAATGTTAATATGTACTCCCTCCGTCCCACTGTTTTTGTCCACTTTCATTTTTACACCATCCAATGCACTTCTTTAATCCATTTTATCTTGTAATTTGTATATTAAAAAATTATAAAAATTATATATTAATAATCTATATGTTAAGACAAATCAAACAAGATCACACATGACTATATTTAGGCTTACACATTGAGAGAATTTGATGAGTCAAAGTGCTTAGATGAACAGTTCCAAAAGTCAAAAGTGGACAAAGAGAGTGGGACGGAGGTAGTAATTAGTTTTTTAGGTGAGCGATATATAAGCTTTTTCGAAAGTTTCTTTACGGTTCTTTACCTCGTCGCTTTTTTTTAACCGTCAGGATATTAAATGTAGTTGTTCATTAGTTCGTGTATTACTCGTTTTACAATATTTAAATAACAACTACTACCTCCGTTCTCAAAAACACTTCCTCTTTTATATTTTTCACTTCCAACAAAACACTTCCACTTTCTATTAAAAAACCACTTTTACCCTTACTTTTTTCATACCCTATCTATCACATCATACTTTTTCTCTAATAATCTATCCATCACATCAGGGGCAAAATTGGAAGTTAACTATAATTTAACTCTTCCTTATTTTGGCTCCAAGTCAAAGTAGGAACCTTTTTTTCAAACGGAAAAAATACATTTTTAGATCTTTTATTTCATTATTTCCTTTAACAATTACACATTTACACTTTTCAATTTTTTTAAAAAAAAAATAGGGGGGGGGGGGGTTGTCGAAACTGGTCGGTACGATATCGGTACCGCCGGTACGGGTACCGGGACCGATACTGTCTGGTGCGGTCACGGTAACGGTTCTTAGAGGTGGAAATACCGCAACCGGAGGTTCCGGAACCGGAATCGTCCCAGAATTGTACCGTATCCACCCTAGCTCCAAGGCTTTTCACCAAAAGTCTTGAAGGCTATAAAGTGAGGGTGAATCCACATTTTTTTCCCGAACCATGCTACACTTACACCATAAAATATACCCCATTTGTACACCATAGGTTTGCACAAACATTTCGATGGTTTACACCGACACAAGTGTTGGTGCGTTAATAAAAATTCACACAGACACAAATGTTGGTGCATTTAACAAAAATTAGTTTTACACTAACAGAAAGTGTTGGTGCAAAACTGCGGGGTACAAATGGGGTACAACCCTTGGGGTACACATAGCATAATCCTTTTTTTTCCGTGTTAAAACGCATTTTACAATTAAAGGGTGCTTTAAAGTCTCAAAGGCTAATTAAAAGATAAAGTAGGCTAACGCCAAAATTCCAAAATGGATCATTTTTCAGTTTATATTTCTATTTATATGGTGCTTTATTCCCGTCTTCCTCCGCCGCACATCCCCAGGCAGCTGCTTATCCTTCCCCCAATCTCCTTTTTCGCCTCTGCCTTCCGCAGAGGACCTTTTTTTTTTCTCGTTACAATTTTGTTATTTTTTTAAAATTCAATATCCAACGGAAATGGCAGTGGCATACCGTCAATTTTTTGGTTCGGATGAGAGGAAGGCAATAGAGCCGCCGCCGCCGCCGTCGATTGTGGCGCCCGTGGCCTCATCGTCCCTCTCCACCGTTATGCTCACCCAGGATGAGCTAAAGAAACTTGCCGCCTACAAGGCGGTGGAGTATGTGGAGTCGGGTATGGTGATAGGCCTGGGCACTGGTTCGACGGCGAAGCACGCGGTGGACCGCATCGGCGAGCTATTGAATCAGGGCAAGCTGAAGAATATTGTGGGGATACCGACTTCTCGGAAGACCCATGAGCAGGCTGTTTCTCTGGGCATTCCGTTATCGGATCTAGACGCGCATCCGATTGTGGATCTGGCAATCGACGGCGCGGACGAGGTGGACGGGGATATGAATCTGGTGAAGGGACGCGGGGGGTCGCTTCTCCGGGAGAAAATGGTGGAGGCGGCTTGCAAGAAATTTGTGGTGATTGTTGATGAATCGAAGCTGGTGGGGCATCTGGGAGGTAGCGGGCTAGCGGTTCCGGTTGAGATTGTTCCTTTCTGCTGGAAATTCACCCTGAGAAGGCTGGAGATGCTGTTTATGGAGGCGGGTTGTATTGGGAGGCTCAGAAAAGTGGATGGTGGGAAGAAGGGGGAGGAGCCCTATGTCACTGACAATGGTAACTTTATCATCGATTTGTTCTTCAAGAAGGAAATGGGGGAACTGAGGGCTGCGAGCGATGCGATTCTGAGGCTTGCTGGTGTGGTTGAGCACGGAATGTTTCTTGATATGGCTACCACGGTGATTGTTGCCGGAAAGCTTGGCGTCACCGTCACAAACAAGGGGTAGCTAGGCAATTAACCAAGCCATCTCAACTTTTTTTTAATTTTTTATTTTAGATTCTCTTAAAAACTTCATACTACTACTTCAATTCACCTGATCCGTTTACTAGTATAATCTATATGATCTTAAGGAGGTATTGGGGGGGAGTCTTTAGTCTTCCCAGAACCCATGCATAATGTGTGACTTGTTGTTTGAGATTGAATGGGTGGGAATATTGCCACATCTCTGTCACATTGTGTTGTTTTTCTCTCCTATTTTCACCACCTTGGCCCTCTTTACTTTTCTTTGCTTGCTCTCTTAAGTTAAGTTGATCATTGTTATGTTTGGAAATTGTGCAGCATAACTTTTTCCCTTCTTGATGCCCTTAATAAAGAGGAGAGACTCGCTGCATCTGTCAATGATTATGACACAACCATTGCCTCTCTTTGTTTCTCTTATGAGAGCCGGAAGACATGGTTATATATAAAAAATGCAGCCAGACATAATTGTATGGAATCGAAGTTCGAGATTATCTGACATGCTTGTTTTAAAACTAGAATTCTATCACCCCGCAAGGCAAAAGCACAAGGGGGAGGATTAGACCAAAGACCCATGGATAGGAAAGGATAAAGCTATTTGTACCCCATGTTTTGTACCCCACTTTGTACCTCGTAGCTTTGCACCAACACTTTGTGTTTGTGTAAAACTAATTTTTGTTAATACACCAACAATTTGTGTCCGTGTAAATTTCTGTTAACGCACCAATACTTGTGTCCGTGTAAACCATCAAAATGTTTGTGTATAACTGCGGTGTACAAATAGGGTACAATTTGTGGTGTAAGTGTAGCATAACCCGGATAGAAAACATAATGATTGAACTAGCAAGAAAGGTTTCTATTACTAGACCTGGCAAACCGGACCTAGACTCAGTAACCCGAACGGAATAACCCAGAATCGAATCCAAAATGACCTCAAAACTGTAGAATCGAATTAAACTCGATCACCCGAAATGATCCAACCCAAAACCAAACCGAATGTATTCTGACCTGATGCAGGTCTGGATCTGATTGAACTCGAACAAGTTAGACTCGAAACCAATTAGACCCAAAACAGATTAGACCCGAAAACCAATTAGACCCAATATTCATCAAACTCAAAACAAATTAAACTCAAATCTAAGAAAACCTAATAGCTCATTTGTTGATGTCCTTCTAAGAAAAATATATTTCTAAGTACAATTGATTTAATGTTCAAATCTTTTACTCTGTATTTTATCACATAAACTAAGATTGTTGCCTATTTTTCTAGAGTTTATATAATTTATAGTGTCATCGTAACACATATCAGTGGATATACTATGTCATTACTACAGACACTTGGATATATACTCCCTTTACATATATGGAGGAGAGGCTACATACAACGCTAACATTAGGAACTCTAATGCCAAGTGATCTCATCTCAAACATGCATAAACCCGAATCGATATGGACCCGACTCGGTATAAGACCGAACCGGTATAAACCCAAACTGATATAATCTGAACCGAAATCGAACTGAAACAGGAAAAAACTCAAACTGAACTTAACTCGAAATGAACTGACCTGAAGCAAATTGACCCGAACCAATTACTACATATATTCAAAAGAGACCTGAACCAAAAAGATCCAAACTGAAACCGAACCGACTGACCCGATTGCCAAATCTTTCTGATGGACAATAAATCCACCAAATGATCCAATTAAGAAGAATGGATCACAAGAAATTAAATAAGAACAAGCCCCCCAACTCCTCATTCCTCAGACGGGCCCCGTAATGGGATGGGGAGTTTACGAAGTCCACATGGGCGCTGTAACACCCTAATCCATCCAGGTCTGCAGCCCCTTTCAGACTAAAGTATTAACTTGGTAATCGTAAAATTTAAAACATTTCAAAATTTCAAATACTTTTATTCATCATGAATATTATTTAATACATAACTGTAGCAAAATACGGAGTGTTTAACAATAGTGCGGAAGCAATTTAAACCATGTTTAATAACAACACAATTATTTATTTAAAATCACAAATTCCACCACGACAGTCTCACCCCTTCCGCTGCCAGGAACATGCCAATCATTCATTCTGCCTACCTGCGTGTAGCAAATAAAACATACTACACGCTCAGCGATGAAGCTGAGTAAGCATATCTAAAGCGTCGAACATCCACATAAATTGAATCTCAATTCACAAACAACTATTTGATATCATGCACACAATATATAATTCATTCATGATATTCTCAAAATTTTTATTTCAATATCTCAATATTCAACATTCATATTCAATATTCAATATTCAACAATATCCTTAAACTATACTTAGTCTAAGGCTAATTTCATTCTTAAACTGATTCTAGTTCAAGATATTCTAATCCTTAAGCTAGGCCTAGTTTAAAATATATTTTTAAAAAGAGTTTTCAAATCTTAAACTTACCTTCGCTTAAGGTCAACCAAAAACCGACAGCGTAGTGTTTACTGTTGGGTTGGGTGGTACCCCAAACGAGTAGGTACTCAAGTTTGGTTCTTGGATCCCGTACGTACGTTTTAACCCTAGCCACCGGGCATCATATCCGCAAGGCCTAACTTATATAGGTATATCTTAGAGTTGTTCTATATACCCTTAACAATACATTCTCGTTATGATTATCAATATATCCATTTTTAATTATAATTAAGTCATCAATAATCATTCTAATCAGTAGGTTTATCATTCATAATCATTCATAACATTTATTCATCATAATGATTAATCAACATAACATTTAATAACAATTAGCGGCCTAGTCTCGAGTGTTTACACCCAAACTTACCGTCATACATCACATAAAATTTTATTTGTGAAAACATCATTTTTATTTTATCACATAAAATAATTGTTATGAATGATTATGAATGATAAACCTACTGATTAGAATGATTATTGATGACTTAATCATGATTAAAAGTGGACATATTGATAATCATAACGAGAATGTATTGTTAAGGGTATCTAGAACAACTCTAAGATATACCCATAATGAAATTGATGTTGAAAGGTATCTAGAAGAAATCTAAGATATACCTATTTAAGTTGGGCCTTGCGGGTATGATGCCCGGTGGCTAGGGTTAAAACGTACGTACGGGATCCAAGAACCAAACTTGAGTACCTACTCGTTTGGGGGTACCACCCAACCCAACAGTGAACACTACGCTGTCGGTTTTTGGTTGACCTTAAGCGAAGGTAAGTTTAAGATTTGAAAACTCTTTTTTTTAAAAATATATCTTAAACTAGGCCTAGTTAAGGATTAGGATATCTTGAACTAGAATCAGTTTAAGAATGGAATTGGCCTTAGACTAAGTATAGTTTAAGGATATTGTTGAATATTGAATATTGAATATGAAATATTGAGATAATGAAATAAAAATATTAAGAATATCATGAATAGATTATATATTGTGTGCATGATATCAAATGGTTATTGGTGAATTGAGATTCAATTTATGTGGATGTTCGACGCTTTAGATATGCTTACTCAGCTTCATCGCTGAGCGTGTATTATGTTTTATTTGCTACACGCAGGTAGGCAGAATGATTGATTGGCATGTTCCTGGCAGCAGAAGGGGCAAGACTATCGTGGTGGAATTTGTGATTTTTAAATAAATAATTGTGTTGTTATTAAACATGGTTTAAATTGCTTCCGCACTATTGTTAAACACTCCGTATTTTGCTACAATTATGTATTAAATAATATTTATGATAAATAAAAGCATTTTGAAATGTTTAAAATTTTACGATTACCAAGTTAATACTTTAGTTCGATAGGGGTTGCAGACTTGGATGGATTAGGGTGTTACAGGCCAAGTACTTCATGTTTGGTTTTCAACATCTGGTTTTAAGGTGGATGGTTTTTGTATTGGTTTTGGCTGCTAGGTTTTAGAGCGGACTGCTTATTTTGGTAGCTAGGTTTTCAACATATGCTTATTTTGGAGATCTGGAGACCTGGACCGATTAGGGTGTTACAATTTGGTATCGGAGCAAAGTGAGGCCGGAGACAGATATCTTTCTAATCTGTATGGTATGGGACATACAGCTTGGTAAGATACATGTAGCCGGTGGAGGTAGATATCTCTCTAATTTGTGTGGTATGGGACACACAGCTTGGGGAGATACGTACAACCAACTCATGATCCTTGGGAACCCTCGCGCGTGAACGGTGGCGAAGCGTGACTCCCCGCCTAAGGGCTCAAGCAATTGAGTGCTTTGATAGGACCAAATTGTAGCCACATAGATGTGTTACAATTTGGTATCGGAGCAAATGGTTTTAAACCCGATCTTCGGATCAAAACTTGGATTTAAATATATATATACACACACACACACACACACACACACACACACACACACACACACACACATATTTATTTTGGCTATATATAAAAAAAAATTTGTCAATCACATCCACGACTCTCGCATCCCTCTGCTCCAAGAAGGTAATAAAAAAAATCTAAGTATTAAATGTGTCTGTATTGAATTTCATAGATCTCAACTGTTAATTCGGAAATGATATCATCACAACTAAGTTCAGCGTGAAAGCATGTACCATTTTCTGCTTTCTTGTTTGCTTTACATATACTGAGGGACTATGCGATAGTTGCGCGGGTAGCGAAGCGCTTTTATTACTTTTCTTCCTAAATAGACGCGGCGTTCCGACGTACCCTTGCCCTACTGGGCCTTCTCTGCATCAGCATAGACTCTGCCAACAGCATCTGCGGATCCGGTGTGGAAGATAACAACAACAACAACAACCCAGTTAAATCCCACAAGAGTAGGGTCTGGGGAGGGTGTTTGTACGCAGACCTTGCCCCTACTTGAAAGTAGAGAGGCTGTTTCCAAAGAGACCCCCGGCTAAACATCGAAACTTGCATTGCTTGACTAACTGCTACTTCATTAATTAAAGAAGCGCAGATAGTTTAGAGATCCATTTTGATTTATTCCATCACACCCCAAAGCCAAAAAATGGTGAAATTTTGGCTCCATCGGAGATGATGGAAATCCAGTGTGGAAGATCCTTCCGTAAATTCAAGGAAATCCAACTATTCAAACGCAAACGCTTAGAATAAATCTTGTTGATCGAATCCCTTGATTGTATCAATTATTGTAATCTTTTGTAATTTCTGTCATGAACTCAACTACCCAAATAAAGAATCCTGATAAAGGAATTTCTGTTAATTGTAGAATGAGTCAAGAAACCGCACACGGACAAGGCAACAATGAACACGTAAGTGTTCAC